TACGCCTCAGAGACTTGGACTCTGCGCAGGCAGGACGAGCATGCGGTCAGCGTTATCCAACGCGCTGTCGAGAGGACGATGCTAGGAGTAACCCTATACACGCAAGTGCAGAGGGGAATCCGGAGTTCGGAACTACGCCAACGATCGAAGATCAGGGACGCTGCCGTTTTCGCCAAGGAATCGAAGATAAGGTGGGCCGGACACGTCATGCGATTTTGCGATGACCGTTGGACCAGAGCGGTTACCGACTGGATCCCTCGGGACAAACGAACACCTGGACGACCGCCGGCCCGATGGTCAGACTTCTTCACGAAAGCTCTGAACGAAAGGAATGAACGGACTTCGTGTCCCTCGAGCGAGGAGGATCCACTGGACCACTCTAGCACGCGACAGGGACGAATGGAGACGTTGCTGGCGCCCGCTCGAGCAAATCGACGATCAACGGGACGACAGGTGATACAGGTGATACCTGTGTCATCTCCCCAGCCAGTTTAACCAACGTCTCCATTCAATAGTGCATTCATAGAAACACGAGCGCACAAATCAAAGGCAAAGTTTGGGGTCGAACTTATATATATCGCTTGTGAGTGACAGTGGAGATGTGATGTGTAACGCCAGGGTCGACAAGACCGAAAATGAACCCTCTGTAGCAGCAAAATGAAATAGCACTGATTTGTGGGCGGGCTCAATGGTGTTGGGCGGGGCCAATGCTGCATCCTAGGGCCTTAGCGCCTCGGCCTTGTCAAATCATCCCGAAAGTTGTGTACGTGCTTCCGCTTGCGTACCGCTGCACTTTTCTCGGGGGAAAGCTCAATTTCGACCAGAAATCACGGACCTTGTAGTGGGGTATAAGTACTCGTCTCAGCATCTGACCTAATATGGAATGGGTAAAGTCCCTGTTGGCATGATTATAGAGAGCGTGCCTTATACTAATGTTTTATGCTGGTTTAGCTCCGTGGATTGACGAAATATCAAGGCTTGTTTGAAGAAGGAGAGGAACGAACCGTTTTAATTATTTCGTTTATAGAGGCTTTATCTTTCCGGTGCTATCTTACTTTGGGGGGGGGGACCACGCGGCGGCGCGGCGCTCTGTTCGTCTGCTCCTCCAAGGCTTAGTCCGCCGATGGCGCGTATTTCGAAACTGCCACGTGGCGACGAAATAGTAACTGCCCCTTGGACTAAGCCTTAGAGGAGCAGACGAACAGAGCGCCGCGCCGCCGCGTGGCCCCCCCCCAACTAAGTTAGCACCATCTTTCCTAATTACATGCTTTCAGGCCTTCAAATACGTTCCTCTGGTCTGGCTACATCATTTGATGGATGCGAGGAAACTCAGTAATTCAATAATTCACTCCTTTGTGTCCGTAGCTGTAGCGGTGCAACGTATTCAAGAAGATAAGAATATCGATCATCTACCGAGCTCTATACTGGAAAAGGAGGCACTGCTTCTAGACTTTGCTTGGGAGCGTTTGAATACCGGTAGGTGAGGAGATTGCAGTGTTGCATTTATAAAGCACAGAATGTTTCAGGTCATTTTTCTGAAGTTGATGAGTGTTGGAGACTGCTTTATGCTGCTGTTTCATTGGTGAAGTCTGTTCGGCTCGCGTCGGCAGGGCAGTATTTGGTGGGTATCATAGAGAAAAGGGAAATTGCAAAGGGCACAGGTTCTCAAGCCAAATGGAAGCAAGCTCGACATGATCTCAGGCCTACGAAGGCTAATCCCTCTAGAGGTTCGGGTCCTGATTTCGGCTGATTCGTCCAGGAGCGGACCAAGGAGGGGGGGGGGGACAAAACGTAGCCGGCAAGATCCCACGTCTACTTTTGAGCTTTGGTATTCTACATAGATTCTTTTTGTGTAGCTAAAATGAAATCGAGTGCGTGGCGCATTTTCAAAGGCAAGGTCTGGTATTTCTGGTCGAAATTGGTCTTATCCCTGAGAAAAATGCAGCGGTAAGCACGTGCACAGCTTTCGGGAATTTTATAAGGCCGAGGCCATAAGGTTCTAGGAAGCGGCATTAACCCCGCCCAAAACACCCACGAATCAGTGCTATTTCGCTTTGCTGTCACTAACCATACCTAAAGGGTTTTATTTCAGCTTTGCTGGTTTGTTCACGTTTTTCCATTGTTGGCGCTACACTTCACATCTCCTCTGTCACTTGCAAGCTCAATAATGCATCTGTCCGATCCCGGACTTTGCCTCTAAGCTATTTATAAATCTGGTCACCCTTTTAAGACAACAGCATATTTCTGATCTTCTCCTGAAATCCCTAAGAAAAACGGGTTACGGGCACAGATTTCAGTGAATTCTGTAATTTTTGAGTACGGTACGCAAGCGTCTGTGTCAGGGATTCGACTTGGTTTTTGGTTGCCTTGCTAGGAGTATTGTTTCTGTGTGGTGGCTGCTCTATTGTCTAGTGAGCCTACTAGTTGGGTCAACAAAGTTCGAAGTGGAGAGTTAGAAAGTAGTAGGGACCAAGAAAGCGGAAGGATCTAGCGAGGTTCGTTAGCGTGATTGTCCTGCTTGGCAACAAAAAAAAAAAGAAAAGGAAAAAAAAAAAGTTGTCAGTCATGTCTATATTTGTAAGCGCTCATGAACATTGGCTTAGTTCAAATATGTGCAGTTCTACATGCTCCAACTGGTAGGCCCAATTATCGCCGAAAGCAAGAGTACTCTGGTAGCGAGTCCCCGCTGAGACAAAAGTTTCCGCACAACTCAGGATGCTTTTTTTTTTTTTGTGATAACATTGTAGAGCGTTTTGATGATCTATCACCGAATTTCAATTCTTCAGAGTGCTATCGCAGCTGCTGATTTTGGGCTTGTTGATGGGAGATGGCATTCCGGATCAAATTCTGCAAAGATATGCTCAGTTCTGTGATGGTCTTCTTCCTGTTCCATCGGAAATAATCGAAAGTGATGTATGAGTTGCAATTTCTATTTTTGAACGTTTATAAAACTCTAATTCTTCTTAACATTTGATAGTTTAGAGTTTTGTAGTTTGGTCGCTTTGGGCCGGGTTGCTGTGGGAAGTTTTAATTGGCCTAGTGCTCCGATTGATGCGTCGTCCTTCCAGAAAACCGACAGTCCCCATTGATTGCGCAGATTCTTCGCTGCCACACTAAAACCGTATTGTGTTGGTGATTAATAGCTGTATAGCGCTGTATGTAGTGCAATACTCCTTCAAACGGCATGAGGTCACGCATTTGAAGACGTGAATAAGGTGCCTCATAACGATCAGACTCGCTGTGGTCGCTCGAGAATGTAAGAAATATAGTACTAAACTCGCCGCGACGAAAACGCATTCCCGACATCTAAAATGAAAGGCCTTATTACGGGAAACATATTGAATGAAGCCTTGTCCTTTTCCGGCGGCTGATATACCTACGAAGCAGCCAGACGCGAATCGTTCAGAACAACGGAGGCGGGAGTTGCGTCAATCAGTCTTTTTATTCGGGTCAAAGAAGTCAGCGCATCTGAGCATCTTCTAGCGCCGAAAATTGCATCTGGCGAATATTCATATGACATCTCTATTCGCCCACTGAAGGGAATAATCCATGTGAATTCATCGTGGCGAGTGCCTTTAAGTCAGAACCTATAGTCACTTAGTTTTCCGCCCAACAGCCTCCTAAGGTCCAAGGCAATTCCGCCCAACAGCCTCCTAAGGTCCAAGGCAACTGTCACGTTCAAATCCTGATATAAGACGAGAAAATTTGAAGGATTAAAAGATATTGTTCAGATGACCCTGTCAGTGCCGAGGAGTTTGCCCAATTCTGTTCCTATAAAGGCTTTTGACGAGCTATCGAAGTGGGACTTCATCGATCAGTTTCTCACTCGAGCCGAGCCTGTCATCGTCAGAGGTCTCAATAATCACTGGCCAGCATGCAAAACTTGGAGGTGTGTCCTCTCTACTTCTTCCTAAACTGTCTTTCAAGTTTTCTAAGGCAAACCCCGGGGTTAGCCCGACTAGTGGGAAGGATACTGGAGGAAAATCGTGGGTCCGTACCTTCAATTGGTCATGCCAACTTCGTTGCCCAAATTGCGCTACAGGGCGCTAATCCATTACGAACCTGCAACCATCGACCCTCACTGCAACGCTTCCCACCCACTGCTATTGATGTAGAGATCAGCGTGCTCTCTTGCGTGTTTGTCTTCTTTGGTCGGCCCTGTCTCGCCTATCGTACCACATCCGACCTTACTGAAGGTTAATGCCGTGATTTCAGCGTTTCCGATGATTTCTCTTGCCTTCCTTCCCACTTTCAGTTCCTTCCGCAGCTCAGTGATCCCTACGAAGCGCCCTTATACACCAGTTTTATGTCGGAATTTGCCTTTAAGTCCATTATAATACTTTCAAGGATGTTTCAATCCATCTCTATTCAAGGCTATTACAGCTTTGACCACCTTCATCGTATTCTTTGCCATCGCGTCGTTCCCGTGGAACAAGGCTCAAAATATACGGACAGTGACTGGGCTCAAAAACTCATGACTGGTTCAGAGTTCTTCGCCACTCTTCTTGAGGATAAGGTGAGGAGAAAAGGGTGGGACATGAGGCTATTCAGAGAGAATGTTTCGGAGCTCATCTAATTTTGCGAGCTGACATACCGCTGAAATTTCTGTGTGAATATGATGTAACCATTTCGGTTCGTATATGATATTTCATATTTTTTAAAAATTCTAGTCAGCACTTTGATCTGTTGAGATTTCAACGACATCTTTCAGGAAAATAAACCATTGATATCCAAATTTTTGGAATGAGAAATATGCAAAGAAGTGACTTGTATTTGATTGTTTGATTGTTTCTGGACTGACAGCAAACAGCGGGGTTCATAAGTCCTGCCTGGGCGAAGTTTGTTCAAATCCAGCGTTCTGTTGAAGCGAAAGAAATTGGTTCACAACCCAGCATTCTTGTGAAGCAAATAAAAACGTTTTGGCAAATATTTTTAACCCTACTGAATCTCACCTCTCACCAAGCTCGACTTGGCTTTTTGGATATTTTGTGGAATTGGACCTTATTTCTTTTTCATGTATTTGATAGATTTTTGCAGAGCAGACCTCTGTATCTTGCCCAGCATCGGATTTTCGATCAGATACCTCAGCTTTGTGACGATTTTTCTCTTCCATTATACTGCGACCATTGTGAAGTAAGTCTAAGAAGTTTTCCAGCAGCTGTGATAAGCCAGGATTCTGTTAATCTGCGTAATCGAGTAAGAGCCTGTGATTCCTAGCTATTACTTATTTAAGAACGTGGATAAAAATGGTTGGATCGGACCCGGAAGTACTGTGTCACCTCTTCATACGGATCCAAGAGAAAATATTTTTTGCCAGGTACATTTCTCCGTTCTGATATTCGGTTGTTTGGCAGCTTTACAATTGTGTAACTGAGTCTTGTTTCAAGATTTTGGGCCGCAAATTCTTTCGTCTCGTCCCTCCATCTGATTCAGAAAATGTGTACGCTTTCAAGGATGGCATCATCACCAATACCAGCCAGGCAGGTGTTTTAAGCTTACCTGACAAAAGGCTCGTCGCGCGGCGGGAAGGCAGAGACGCAGACGGGTCAGCGGACGAGTCGCAGCGTGTGTTGCGCTATGTGGGACGTGCTGTAGTATATTCATTTCTACATGACGTTAAATACGGTATGCGCTGTGACTCGTCCGCTGACTCGCCCTGCGTCTTTGCCTTCTCGCCACGCGATAGGCCTCAGGAAGAAGTACTCGTGTTTTGAGTTTCAAAGATAGGTTACATTAAGGTTCAGTGACTATTTATTTATTGCCACTGAAGGATTCTAAACCACAGGTTGACGTGTTAAACCCGGACTTGGAGAAGTATCCAGATTTTGCGAAGGCACAGTGTTGGGATGGTGTTGTGGAAGCCGGAGATGTCTTGTTCATCCCTCAGGGCTGGTGGCACCTGGTTCGCAGCTCTTCTCCAATTCGGTTTCCATTTCGTTTTGGTTTGATAAGTGATTAACGGTCTCATTATTCCTTATTT